GCCCACGCGCTGCACATGAACATCTTAATTCTCTATTGTGGAAACAAGAAAATAAACGGTAATCCAGCTACACAGACACACACACACGAAACAATTTAAGTGGCTCCGTAGCAATTTTATATTATTTTTTTTTTACGAGACTGCTCCCGAATGTTTTAAATTGGATTGTGATGGGGGTAAAGTAGTGGAACAATCGAACTTTACCGGTGGGTGTGCATCGAGCCATAGTTGAAAAAAAGAAAGAAAAAGAGATCTGCAGCAGCTTGAAAGTTCCCCCTTGTTAAAAAATATATTCCAAATTACCCTCCTTATTGCAATGAGGAGAGTAATTTAATAAGGATCTTCTTCCTTTCCTTTATATTCTAATTATGAGATTAGCCATGAGATTAAATTCTTTCCTATGGTTTCGGGTGATTCTTTTTGTGTTTTATCAGTGAAATTTCGTCTTTAATCATTCTAAACGATAGGATTAGAGATTTGTCTTCCTTCTTCTATTGGAAAATTTCTTCTTCCCCCTAATCTTTAAATTAACAATGTCGATTTTCATGAGTTCCGTTAGTTTCCTCTTGAAGTTTGCTAATCGAGACGAAGGATTGGACAATACAACAAATGGTTGGTCTGGCGTGAGGGGTGCCTCCCGACAGGAAATTGGACCCTATTTAGATGTTAGTCACGTGAAGAAACACGGAAAACTCCACGTTGATGAGTCACAAGCACTGATATTGGTGGAAACTTTAGGGGGAAAGCTCCTTGTTAGTCCTTCCTTCTCTTATTACTGGTTTATCTCAAGATGTGGTATACGAAATCCTTCCTAATCTTCGAGCTTCACCAACGTTAAGTTTTTCGGTGTTTTCCCCCACCTAAAATAGGGGTACATTCCAAAAAGTGGTGGGAAATGATCCTATTGATACTACAACTCCGTTCGGATTCTTCAAGAACCGAATTTGAGTAATTTCATTCGAATTTTAGTGCAATAAATAATACTTTTAATCGGTTCCATTATTGGATTAAGGGCTATTGAGGTATAAGGAGAATAACCCAACTGATAGGTAGTGAATACCCTTATATACCATTGCGATATCTCGATTTAATGTAAGACAAAACTGAGATTACAGCGTAGTTATTCTTCCATGTTTTTATAGTACTGTTTACGCGGAATAAATTGCTAAAGAATATTTTATAGGCGAATTATTACTATTTTTCAACGAAATATCCGGAAAACACTAGCAAATATTGTATTTTTCATGCAAGAATTCCCGTTTGGAAGACATTTTTCAGGTTCATTTCGCATTGACAGCGCGCGATTGTCGCGTATAACCCGCAGAAGATCGGGTAATATCATGATTTTTTGTGTGTGTTTCTGTGTATCGCAGGGAGTTTAATAGGTGGAGAAAGGGGGGACGAATACTTTCTTAGAATGGTAACTTTCATTAAGGGATAATTTGGAAAGTGAGAGTAACAAATGGAGGCTTTACAGCAACATCCGTTTAGCGGTTTCCTCTTCGGCAGTATCCGAGAGGCATTCACAATAGTATTTTGTAGTGTCGTTTCTAAGACGATAAGAGCATTAATAAAGGCCATACAGAGAAATTTATCGTTTTTACTAATTAATTGCGTCGCAGTAGGTGGGAGGAGGGAAGAACGAGGGCGAGAGAGAGAGAGAGACGAAGTCTTTAAGGAAGAGGCAGAGGATCGATTGCCGAAAGGCAAAGAAATGCGCTTCTTTGGAAAACCGAGACGACGACGGGGGGAACGAATTCTCGAGAGGGGGGTCGATAGCTTCTTCGACCGGTTTTGGGAGCGAGGAGGGAGGCCGCCCGGTTTAGTCGGCCGCGGATCGACGACCGTTTCTTTGCCAGGAGAGACAGAGAAAGAGAGAGAGAGAGAGAGCCACCACAATCGATACCCTTAAGCGAACGAATTCCTTCTTATCTACTTCCACCCCCTCGGCGGATCTCTTTTAATTATCGAACCGACCGAAAATTAATAACGGGCTCCATCTGGCTCCGTTGCTCTTCCTCCTCCCCAAAGGAGTAACCGGGATTCGACCGCGCTTTCTCTCTCTCTCTCTTTCTCCCTGTCGAGGGTTCGAACCTCATGATGTTCCAGGATGCTGGAGGCGTCATAGAAGAGGAATCGATCCCCAGGCAATCGATGGCCAACTCGGTATGGTCTGGATAGTCGTACAGCCTCACCCCGGCTATTAAGAGGTGGAAGAGGCGACCCCACGCCAGAAGAATGGCCGGGGGAGGAGGGGAAGGAAGAAGAGGAAGGAAGCGCCACCGGTGTGTCGTCCGGTGGGGTGAGTCGAGTGATGAATTATATCGACATCGATCGGAATCTAGCAAACACCTCCCTCCTCTTCTCGGATCGGGTTTATCTTCTTCCTCTTCCATCCCAAGCGCCAAAACACAACCCCTCGTAACTTCTTCCGGGGTGTAACGCGAGATGTTACTCGAAAATCTTCCGAAATTTAAAACGTTCAGCAATTTACTTCCTCCGAAGAAATTGAAATCTCCTCATTTTTCTTTTTGGCTGTGAGAAACGTAACTTATTTGTTACGCCGAGTTTACGGGCGAGGAAATGATGGGAAAAAACGGTTACTTATATATATAGTATGTCATACATTAGTGTTACTCTATAGACATCAGTTTCTTTTATCTTCCCGTGGATTCTGGTTACGAGCGGATAAAAACGTAACGGTAGTAGAATCAATTCCGGATGGAAATTAAGAAAATATTGTGGTAACTTGCTACGCCAGAATATCGTAACAACGCTCTCTAAATCCTATTTATCTCTCGTTACTCGGTAGCCGATTCCCTCGGTGTTACGTTATTCAACCCCGTAATAACGTAACTTACGATCTTTCTGCAACTCGATTCTGTTGTTTTTAAACTCGAAAATAATTACTGTATTAGTCTAGTTTAATGCTGCGTGATTACCGATTTGTTCTATTTAAAAAAATAATAATTATAATCTCTCTCCCTCCCCCTCCTGTAATTTCGAATTTTAATTAATTTCCAAATCAATATAAAGTAATTTAATAAAGTAAAGTAGTTTCGGCATCCTTTATAAGCTACTCGATTTTGTTTTCTTGGATGAAGTATTTTTATCCGACTCATTTGGAGATTGATGCGGATCTAATCATCGTTTCTTTCGTATTTATTTATTTATTTTTCCATAAATCTTCCTCGAAGGTGCAGCCAATTGCAGAAAATCGCTTAGAATCTAGTGCAAAAAGTGTATAAGGTTAAACCTGTTATCTACAGATAAGTGTAGTGTCGCGATACAACGTCCTGGACAGACGTTTGTTTCTTCGGATGGAAACGTTTCTATGGGAAATAACGGGCTTTTCGTCGTCTTTCTAACAATTTTGCTCTAAGATCTTAAGGTTGTTCGTTCGTCTTGTCTGTTTGTTTCGCCTTATGTGTGTTATTTCTCGATTTTTCCTTGTACTTACACGCCAGTAGACGAGTGGACAAAACCTCTGAACAATAGCAATTTTAAAAGTAAAAGCTCTTAGCACCGGTTGCGGGTTTAACTCTCACCAAAGTAGAGTTTTATTCCGGCTCTTCCTCATGTCTCTAACACTTATCTGAACACTAGTCGAGGGTTCACGCTCACCAACGTGGTGTTTTCTGGCTCTTTCTCACGTCCCTAACACCTATCTGAACACAAGTCGAGGGTTCACGCTCACCAACGTGGTGTTTTCTGACTCTTTCTCACGTCTCTAACACCTATCTGAACACTAGTCGAGGGTTCACGCTCACCAACGTAGTGTTTTCTGGCTCTTCCTCACGTTCCTAACACCTATCTGAACACTAGTCGAGGGTTCACNTTTCTATGGGAAATAACGGGCTTTTCGTCGTCTTTCTAACAATTTTGCTCTAAGATCTTAAGGTTGTTCGTTCGTCTTGTCTGTTTGTTTCGCCTGATGTGTGTTATTTCTCGATTTTTCCTTGTACTTATACGCCAGTAGACGAGTGGACAAAACCTCTGAACAATAGCAATTTTAAAAGTAAAAGCTCTTAGCACCGGTTGCGGGTTTACCTCTCACCAAAGTAGAGTTTTTTTCTGGCTCTTCCTCGCGTCTCTAACAGCTATCTGAACACTAGTCGAGGGTTCACGCTCATCAACGTAATGTTTTCTGCCTCTTTCTCACATCTATAACACCTATCTGACTACTAGTCGAGGGTTCACGCTCACCAACGTGGTGTTTATGGCTCTTCCTCACGTCTCTAACACTTATCTGACCACTAGTCGAGGGTTCACGCTCACACGTGGTGTTTATGGCTCTTCCTCACGTCTCTAACACTTATCTGACCACTAGTCGAGGGTTCACGCTCACCAACGTAGTGTTTTCTGGCTCTTCCTCACGTTCCTAACACCTATCTGAACACTAGTCGAGGGTTCACGCTCACCAACGTGGTGTTTATGGCTCTTCCTCACGTCTCTAACACTTATCTGACCACTAGTCGAGGGTTCACGCTCACCAACGTGGTATTTTCTGGCTCTTTCTCATGTCTCTAACACCTAGATATGGGCGAAAATACCATAAAAAGCCGTAACAAGTGGAACCCCCTTGGCAGATCTCCCCTTGTGTTACGTTGCTGTATCTCACCAAACCTTTGTATTTTTTTAAAACCGAAACAATAGAAACCGAGGAAGAACAATTCCATACATAACACATTCCATTATCATAAATAAAATATGAAGAAGCAAAGAAAAAAGCAATCGATAAATTGGTGTTTACGAAGATCCTTCTTTAAAATTGAGCGATTTACGTCATCCCCGCCAGATTTATTCTCGTAAAACAATATAAATTACGTAATATATAACAATTTTTCGCACAGTTTTACAGTCCGTAACCTTTGACCTTCTTTCCTATTTTGGGTGTAGCTTTAATACAGAGTAATGTCTTTGAATATTAACAATATTTTAATTATTATTACGTAGAATTAAAAGACTTTTGGCTAACATTTCTCTTTTATTTATTACAGAACGAGAAGAACCAGATTATGACGTCGAACGTCTGGCTCCAATTGGTAAGTTCCTGTGTCCGCACGTCACAATTACAATTGACTAATAGTACAATTCGTATTTGAAACGAGGGAGCGAAAGTTCTAAGACAAAAGAAAGAAATACGTCATAATACATAATGCAATTATCTCAAGACACCAGCTTCTTGTTTAGCATTCCCTTTATAACTTCGTAAATGTATTGTTTATATTTGGATTCGAAAAAAAAAACTAATGCATTCCCATTGTTAGTAAGATTTGAGGATTTTAATTAGATCAACCCCGCATATAACGCTCTTTCCATCACTCGAGAACACGTAACAACCACTCGGAAACAATTACATAAGCTTCAATTACAGGTATTATTATCGCTTCGTCAGTAAGTACGACCCTTTCTTTTATAAGACAATACTGTAGTGTTTCCATCCCAATCGAATTTGTCCTCGTCATTATGAAATTCGAATTTACTCCTCTCGAAAAGTTCTTAACAAAGATGTCGTCCCTCTTTTTTTTATAACCAGAAGATCGATTCGAAATCGATTCTCTTTCATAGCAAGAGAATCGATTTCGAAACTCACGAATACTTCAATTGTCCAACTTATTGTATTTTCTCTAATTTCTTTGTTAGTTGAAAGTATTTCTTCTCTATTCGATTTGCCAGCATCCATCGCCTCCAGACTTTTTCTATTATTCTATAATATTTGTCTGGTGTCTAGTGTGATTTTTGGGCCATTCTTATTTACTTCTAAAACTGGAGCCAAACTTTGTTTTTTTTTTTTCCTTAACAAAAGAAGGAAAAAATCCCGGACAAAATTCGATACGATTCGAAGAATTTCCTTTTCTATTTCGAATATATTTTTGAATACGCATACGAGAGACAAGCGGATATTGAAATCTAGACCCCGGGGATCTTTCTGTCGAAATCTCTCATTTCACGCGGTTTAAACTGCTAAGGGTCAGTTAGATAAACAATTTAGAGATTGGGAAAGTTAAATATTAAATGGTTCCTTTCTCTTCGGTGGGTACGAGAAATGTTTATATTGAAACAATATTTTGCATTGTTTGGAAAGCGAAAAGAATACTTAAATGTATAGGAATACGTGAAAACCTCATTAGTAAAGGTGGCTCGGTCTCTGATGGCCCTCTCTAAATACGAGGGGAACGAATAATACAATGCACACGTGTTAAAAAATCACGTTTATCTAGTGTACTGTTTGGCATTGTGTAGCTTTAGAAGAGTTTAGATTACAATTCTTCTGCCCATACTTGGAGGAATACTACACTAGGAACACTACAAATAGCACACTTGAAAGGAACACTACAAATAACAGACTTGAAAGGGACACTACAAATAGCAGACTTGAAAGGGACACTACAAATAGCAGACTTGAAAGGGACACTACAAATATCACACTGAAAGGAACATTACAAATACCACACGGAAAGGAACACTACAAATACCACACTGAAAGGAACACTACAAATACCACACTTGAAAGGAACACNAGCTTTTATTTATTTATTTATTTGCTTAATAAATTGTATCATTTTTCCTGAAAGCGAATACTTGTTACATTGTTAGCAGTTATTTATTTATTACATAATACCTGGGCTCTACGGAGGATTTAGTAAGCGTTGTAACTCTTGGTCGCTGTGTTCGAGCGGAAACGAATAAAAGAGATACTTACCATTGACGTTTCTTCCGCCGGAAACGATAATAATTAAACGTTCGCTCGTCTGTTACGTAACAATACACGATGCCGTCGCGTGACAGTTTCGACTTTACCTTAATATTGTTAAGGTCGGGTTAGAACCGCGAGTTAGTTTTTCGAGGAGTTCTATACAGATCGATATTACTTTCTCCCTGATACAAAGAACTGAAGGCGCAACAAAGAGGAGGTTTTTAACTACTTCAAATACAGGAGAAGGTATTCAAAGAAAGTCTCCTCATCCTTCCTAATTTATGATGTCCGCCGGCGATTACTACAAATAAAAGTGTAGTGAAGTAACAAAAATAAATCGCCTGAGAGGAGAGAATTTTCCAAATTAAGAAGATTGTCACTTTGGAGAAGAGGAGGAGGAATTTCTAACCAGTCGGTGGCCATCTTCGGCTGTCTTTCTTTAAATAAAATGACTACTTTACCGTAAAATATGCATACTTTTAAAGTATAATAGCCGTTTAAATAGGTTCTACCCTGGGGTATGCATTTACAATATCAGAAAATCTCATATCATTGTCGAGATGTGAAGGTTCCTCTAGGGGTTGTAGCTAAATTTAGCCTGTAAGATAACTCTTCTTTGTGTTAATTTAGAAGATTCATTAACATAAGTACCGAAATTTGTATAACTTCGGGGGGGGGAAATGACGCATTGTTTTCATTTTCTACACGCAAGCAAGTTTCCTTTCTTCAAAAAATTGAAGAGATTCCTGGCTTTAGATCCAGTATCTGTCCCAACTGACCGTTTATTCCGGGGGAGAGAGGGTCGAGAAGTCGGAGAAAGGAATCAAGTGTTGAGGAAGAGAACTTTTATGTGTCTAACGAGTCGTCCGCCATCGTCCGAGGCTGCGGAATCCCGCACGAGGTCGAAAAATAACCCAGGGCACACCGAGAAGACACGACGTTAAATTTATCGATTGACAAAACATGGCGCGAAAAGCCAAATCTCCAACGTGTTCTACGTCATAAATCTTCGTTCTTTCGATTCCCTAACCCGTGATTACGTCACAATACGGGAAAGGAACGATGAGGGATAGTTTTCACAGAAACAAACACCGTAAACCCCGACGATCAGTGGAGTTTTTTTTTTTCAAGACTTCGCCCAGTGTTTACTGTGTAATTTACAAATATTTCATAGGGGTAGGAAGACGGAGAGACGGTATAAAGAGGTGATAGAAACACAACCCTTCCCGCTCTTCCTTCACAACTTTCACATAAGTGGATGTTTTCCTTTAAATCTCGACGTTAGTCGTGTTATTTGTGTTATTAGAAAAAGTAAGATTTGTATTGTTTTGTTTTTTTTATAGTTTTTTTTTTTGGCCACATGAATAAGTAATGGCCGAATGGTAAAGAGAAATTCTCCATTAGAATCTGCTGTAGTGTACTGTACTGTACAGTACGTAGGAGGTGCGGTGGCGACGGACGAGGGCGAAAATTCTAGTTTCTAAGGCAACCGCCTCTTACGACGGTCGATAAATTGCCGCGCCACATTCGAATTTTGTTAAAATTACACGGCAAAAATCTCTCCATTGTTTAAATCGGGGAAGGAAATTGTATAATTTCGGGGGTCGGAAATCGATTCGTTTCTTACGTTCGTCTCTTTTGTCTTCCCTATTAGGAACGTGCGATTCTTAAATCCCGGGTTGTTTTACGTTAAAAAAAAATAGAAAATTCGCACGTGTATGGACCCTCGGAATAACGTTGCAAACGTTATTCCGAGGATTTATTCTAGAAGAGTTATTCTAGAAGGATGCTACGATAAAAACTTTACGTAAAGTTTTTATCGTAGCATCCTTCTAGAGCATCTTTCTTTTTTCCACTGATGCGGATGGTGCAGCATCTCTCTTCATCCCTTCGAGTGGATGATTCTATATATATATATATATTGACCTTTAATGAAAGAATAATTAGAAATTTCGTAAAGTACTGAGAGGAGGGAGAGCCCAATAATTGTAGCGTTATATCGATTCCATACTCTTGCATACTGTGTGTGTGTTTTTTTTTCCTACCTCGAAATATCGATTAACGGCGGGGATGATTACTGTTGGTGGACTTTTGTCGCTGTATTTTATTCGTATTTTCGATCGGTCTTTCGAGAAAATTTGAAATTTGCTACCGATTTTTCCTCCCGCTCTCCCTCGAATTTACTTTTTCGCCCATTGAAATCGAACAAAACGGGGGGAGGGAGGGGGTCCTTCGCTCCTATTTTGGCACACACGCTACAACACCTCGAAAATCGAACCCGATTTATCGAAGAGTTACGCAAGAATATGGAGTAACGTGATACGAATAATTATTGTCGTAACGTCGCTTCGTCCAATCTTCTTTCGTTAGATTAAGAAAATTCGATGGAAATGTCGTTACGATCGTAACAAGAAGAAATTTACTAAGAAGAGAGCCGATTTAATCCCAAGAAAATACAGAAATGATAACATAGAAATGAATGAATAAATAAAAGAAGATAACGATGACGATTGTATACGTAAGATACATATTAATGAAAGGAATATTTTTACTCCTGTCTTTTCCATTGTTTTTTTCGAATATTAAGGAATAATCGTTATGCAGAACAAGAAGAAAGATTTGACCATTATTGTTTTTTCCTATTCATAAATATCGAGGAGAGTAACGTTGATTACTTTACTGTATTACGTTACGTTATAATGCGACCAGCCAGTTAAAACCAGTTTGTCGTGGGTTCACTCTCAAGTGAATGAAATCACTTAATACCAGTCGCGGGTTCGAACCTCGTAGACGTGGATTTTTCACGTTTCAAACGCCTAAAAGGGAAGCCAATTTCTTGTCCAGGGAGGGATCTTCACACGTGGCTGGCGTGTCGCTTTGCTTAACCCCATCGATCCCATTCAATCCACGGTTACGGAGTTAATTAATTATGAAAAATCACCCCCGAAATATTTAAAATTCTCTCTCTCCATATCCCTGGAAACCTCGTTAATGCGACTATTAGATAGAAAGGGATTGCCCTAATTTACTGATAGATTGCTTCAATTCTTATAATTGGCCTTTTTTAAGTGTTACGCTTAGTAGTCACACGTTCGATTAAATATTAATTACGTAACAACGAGAAAACACTAATTTATAAACTATTAGAAAAAGGATCATACTTAATACCCTTTTAATTCCCTTTTAAACAACGATAATGACGCATAAATCGTTTAATTTTATTAGAAATTTCTTTGTTTATTATTCGAACGTTAATTCGAGGACGTCACAAGAAAATAATTAATTAGATTCTTGAACAATACTCCCGTGTTTTAATGTTATTCTCTCGAAATAACGTAAACAATT